AGTGCAGCAAATGTAATTTTGTTCTCGTCCCCCAAATTCCTACGGCTCACGGCTCTTTCTTATTATTTTTTTCCAACAAAAGTATTTTGCTCTCAGCAATTAATTCCCATCCAAGTAAATTAGATAACTCCTCAATGCATTGGCTGCGTGTGTATCTCTCCCAAGTTATGTGGGCCCTTCAAGACTAGCAATTCCAAACCTTGTGGCTGCATATTGCATCTCATTTTTTTGCCAAAATCTCTATCAACTCTATTGGGCTAATGGACGTATATTAGGAAGGCCCGATAACTGATCGCCTCAACTTTCGTCTATTGTTTCACGTTCACAAAATACTCCAATAAGCTGAAAATAAATATAAAATATCAATGTGTATGGATCCATCCAAATAATAAATAAGTCGAAAAATATAAACGTGCGAATAAATTAAGTGTATAAAAATACACTATTAAATATATAATGCGCGCACAATTTTCGACCTATCACTTTACAACCTAATGGATAACCAAGCAGTATGCATTTGGATGCTCTATGATCAAATTTATGTCTATGAGACTGAAGTGTTTAAGCATAACACAAACAACCAATAACTCTCATGTGATCATATGTGGGAGGTTTGTTGAAAAGCATTTCAAATGGTGATTTGTTATGCAAAACTGAGGATGGAACTCTGTTAATAATATGCACAGCACTAAGGATGCAGTCAATCCAAAAATGCAGGGGTAAGTGTGCATGAAAAAGTAAAGCTCTAGCGACTTGTAAAATGTGTTGATGTTTTCTTTCAACTCTTGCATTTTGTTGAGGTGTTTCAACACAAGAAGTTTGATGCAATATTCCATGCTGAGAGTAGAAATCTTTGAGAAAAAATTCAGAGCCATTGTCTGTTCTGATGGTCTTTATTTTCTTTTCAAATTGAGTTAAGACCATATTGTAAAAGTGATTTAGATGTTGTCTAGTATCTGATTTATGAACCAATGGATATACCCAAGTAACTCTGCTGTAGTCATCAACAATTGTTAAAAAATATTTTTGACCTGAGTGTGAAGGGACAGCAAAAGGACCCCATATATCACAATGTATGAGTTGAAATGGATAATCAGATGTAGATGTACTATCAGAGAATGACAATTTTTTCTGTCTAGAATAATGACATACATCACAGGGATTAATATGTTTGCAATTACCATGAGTAATAGGTAAAGTAAGAAGTTTAGAAACAGATAGATGTCCAAGCCTATGATGCCATAGAGTAGTATCATTTATAGTCTCAGCAGGTAAAGATGGTACAAGTAGTACATGTGTGGGTAAAACAGTAGAATTATTGGCTAAAGCAGGAGAATAAGTATCAAATTTCAAATGATATAAGCCATCCTTAAGATCAGCAAAACCAATCATTTTGTGGTTTGTCAGATCCTGTATTATGCAAGAAGTAGATAAGAATTTAACTACACAGTTATTTGTGGCAGCTAACTTTGACACAGAAATCAAGTTAAATGTGAATGAAGAAACAAATAATGCATTATATAATGTCAAAGAAGGAGTCAAATTGATAGTGCCAATATTATGACCAATTGTATTATTCCCATTAGGCAAGTTTATTTGAATATTGGCAGGTTGAACACAACTGGAATATAAATCAGAAGAGCAAATCATATGATCAGTTGCACCTGTATCAAGTATCCATGTTGTTTTAGACAATGATCTAGTTACCATGCAAGAAAAAGAATTAGGAATACCTGGAAGCTCAGCAAAAGCAGTAGCAACCACAAGAGTTGAAGATTGTTGTTTCAATTCCTGTGATTTCTTAAATGCTAAAAAATCATGAAACAAACTGTTAGTATCTTCAACATGAGATGCAGTTTGTGGAGTAGGAGACTCAGTGAAAGCAGCATGTGCAGAATGATTGGTTCTGGGACCTTTGGAACCAACCCAATTAGCAGGATAGCCAATGATCTGATAGCATCTCTCAACAGTATGACCAAGGTGACCACAGTTAGTACATTTTGGTCTGTTTTTGTCTTTCTGAAAGCCATGTTTGGGTTTATTTTGGAAGTTGCTGGATGGATGGGATGATTTGGCTAACATAGCAAGAGGTTCAATCTGTTTAGTGGTATTGGATAGGGTTTTTTGGCTCTCTTCTTGGAGTAATAAGGAGTAAACATTGGTGAGAGATGGTAAAGGGTCAGAAAGGAGAAAGTGGCTTCTGAGTGAGGAGTATGAATCATTCAAGCCTATTAGGAACTTCATAACAGAGTCATTTTGTTGGGCAGTGGTCATTGAGTCAAAGATATTACAAGTACAGTTATTGAGAGCTCCATAGACACACTTGACAATTGGGCGATAAGTAACATACTCATCCCATAATGACTTGAAAGCATTATAATACTGTGTGATAGACATATAAGCTTGATCAATATTGCTGAGTGACTTTTCCAATTGAAAAATACGAGGACCACGAGATAATGAATATCGAGACCGAATCTCTTCCCAAACATCGCGTGCAACAGAAAAGAAAAGCAATGACTGACGAATATCTTTGTTTACAGAGTTTAAAAGCCACGAAAGTACCAGATTATTCGCACGAACCCAAGCAAGAGACATAGACGAGTTTGGAGTAGGATTGGGTGCAGAGACTGTACCGTCGATAAACCCTAGCTTGTTTTTGACACTCAGTGCCATGGAAACAGCCCGCGACCATGAAACGTAATTGTCGCCATTGAACTGCTCGGCTACAATCAAGGCTCCCAGATTGTCACTCGCATGTAGGAAGTATGGAGAAGTCGGATCATCAGACGGATTCGTCATTGAATGTCAGAGAATGTATAGATCTGATAATTTCGAGCAAAGAAATCGATCGGAAGAGTATATCGAATAGAGAGTATCGATCTGAGAATATCGAACAAACGATTGAAAAGATCGAAAAAATCAAACAATCGAGAATATATGTGAGAAGCAATGGAAAAACGGATCGGATTTTAGAGAAATCCGGCGACTGATACCATGTTACAATATGGATCTATACACATTGAGAGAGAGAGAAAGAGCAGCGGAGAAGATGAACAAAAGGAAAAGATAGAAAAAATGAATAGTTACAGATTAGGGTTTGATAATTCTCTTTTATACTGTACCACTATGACTAAAGTTGCTATTGTCACTTAGGACTAGGAATGCTAAAATACTAATAACAACTTATCTATTCTATAAAATGCTAAATACTATATATGCTATTAGTTAGTGCAATTTTGATTTTATATTAAAATAATATTTAAAATAAAATAATTAAAGTTGATTTCATGTAAAAATAGGAGAGAGATAATGTGAAGTGATAGTTAGTTAAATTTATGTGAGTGGATGAATAGTTAATTATAGTTGATGTGATGCCTAAGAATATTGGTTGATATTATTTAATTATATTGATAATGTTGAAAATAGTGGAATTGAGTTAATATTGAGTATAAATTCAGAAAATTTGTATACAAACACAACACACCCCAAATATTTTTAAGAGAAAAATACATACAATAAATCACACCCCAAATCCCTCAGTGATATGTTATGATATTTTCAATATTTTTTAAGGGAATTATTTAGAGGTGAGATATGATATGCATTCTGTATTTAAAGTTTCAATTTAAACAAATTCATTGGTACATAAATTAAATATATGTAACTTTACAATACCTTTAATCCTCAATTTGAGACATTCGCAATTCTAAAAGTTCTAATAATTTCAAACCTTTTATAATCCTCAATTGGATACATCACAATTTTAAAAGTTCTAATATCTTGAGATTACGTCCACCAATTCTAAAAAAATTCAGTGAATTATAAATTATAAAGCTAAAATAAATCATAACAATTCTAAAATTTGAAATGATTTTTAAAATATTCACGATCAACTGCAGTGCTCAAATATTTTCCACTGGCGAAAATATATGCACTCGGTCACGTAGGTATTCCTCGGTCAAATTTGGTTTGATTCACCATTAGAGCACCCACAGTGGGTTTCTTTAAAAAAAAATCAAATATCATGTAGAAAATAGACTTAGTCTATAAAAAAAGTATTTCATAATGCAATTAAAAGTGAACTTAGTCTAATTTATGTGACAATAAAAAAAGAGATCAAGTTTTGGTCTATTTTAGACCCAAGTGTGAACCTTACAATAACAATCATTTATTATTATTTTATTTTTATTGGTAGTTAAGTATTCTAGACCTAATACTTTTTTTTTGCATTAGATAGATTTTAAATTTTCTAGTTTGGATTTGTCCATATCATTATAGACTTAAGTCTATTTATTTGCGGAAAAAGCGAGGGTGCTCTTAGAGCATCCACAATGCTTTGGGTCTATTTTTATATATGTGGCATATAATTGGACTTGAGTTTTAAATAACATGGACAAACTCAAGTAAAAAAACTCAAAAACTTTGCAATGCAAAAATAAAAAGACTAGGTCTATCATACATGTCAACCAACAGAAATGCTCTAATATGTTTTATTCATTAAAAAAAAATTAAATAGAACAAATGATGAGTGTTTGGGTTTGTACTTGGGTCCAAAATAGACCCAAGTGTGGACTTAGTCTCTTTTTTTCATTGCCACATAAGCTAGACCATGTCCACTTTTAATTGCATTGGGAAGTATTTTTTTATAGACTAAGTCCATTTTCCATGTGGCATGTGATTTTTTGTTAAGAGACCCAAAGCATTGTCTAGCTTATGTGGCAATGAAAAAAAGAGACTAAGTCCACACTTGGGTCTATTTTGGACCCAAGTACAAACCCAAACACTCATCATTTGTTCTATTTAATTTATTTTATTTTTTAATGAATAAAACATACTAGAGCATTTCTATTGGTTGGCATGTATGCTAGACCTAGTCTCTTTATTTTTGCATTGCAAAGTTTTTGAGTTTTTTTACTTGGGTTTGTCCATGTCATTTAAAACTCAAGTCCAATTATATGCCACATATACAAAAAGAGACCCAAAGCATTGTGGATGCTCTTAGCTCTGGCTCCGGTTGGCCATAAAAGAGCAAAACCAATACAGCCGCCTACAAAACCGACGGCGAATACATTTTCCGATCAAAAATTGCGACTGGCCGTTGATCGCCCTCCACCCCGACCTCTCACTTCGCCTATCCCGGCGGTGAACCGAAAACATTCGACGCGCAAACGTTCAGTATCTACGGAGTCCGATTAATAATGGGAGCCCTCCGTTTCACCCCTGCGAAACCGCCCAAGCTTCGCCGATTTCCTGCCACCGCCATACCTTCTACCGGCGCCGTGAGGTGCTCCGTCCGACAGCCGTTCATTCGGGCGGAGGGCCTTGCGTCGGTCGGAAAAGCTCCTAGGGTTCTGCCGCTGACTGCACCGCCTTCTCCGGCATCGGAGCCTCTGCTGAGAGTCTCCCCGAGCTCTATCCAGTGCGAGAGCGGGTATTTGTTGCCTAATGAGAATTTGGGTAGCAACGGTGCTGCCGATGGTAGCCTGAATGCGATGGAGTATTTGACGAATATTTTGGTGTCTAAGGTGTATGACGTGGCGTACGAGTCGCCGTTGCAGCTAGCGGCGAAGCTTTCCGGGAGGTGTGGCGTCAATATCTGGCTTAAGAGGGAGGATCTTCAGCCTGTATGTGTTTGAATGTTCATATCTCATTTGTTTATGTATATCTTCACGTTGTTGATTTCTACCTGCATTTATGTTATTGTGCTTAAATTTGTACATTGTCTGATTTTATGTTTTTTTTTTTTCTTATTCTAGCTAAATTTGAGATGTTATATTGAAATTTGGTTGTTTACTTGAGTTTATGAGTTTATGGACAGAGAATCGAGATAGTTTCTAACGAGCGTTGAGTTTTCAGATATTTACTGAGTTCTTTGTGAATGAAACTAGTTTACATGTTATAAAATTCTCCTTTTTCAGGTCTTCTCATTCAAGCTTCGAGGTGCGTACAATATGATGGCTAAACTCCCGAAAGAACAGCTCGAAAGGGGAGTAATTTGTTCATCCGCTGGGAATCACGCTCAAGGCGTGGCATTAGCTGCCCAGAGATTGGGTTGCAATGCCGTGATTGCTATGCCTGTTACTACTCCAGAGATCAAGGTTAGTCTTATTTATTCCTACATTCATTTTATCTATTAGAATTTTCCTCACAATTGACACGATCACACGATTACTGAAGCCTCTTCTCCTTGATAACTTTTTAGTGGAGATCGGTTGAGAGATTAGGGGCCACGGTTGTACTAATAGGGGACTCGTACGATGAAGCCCAGGCCTACGCAAAAAAACGAGCTGCAGATGAGGGCCGTACGTTCATACCTCCTTTCGACCACCCTGATGTAATAACAGGCCAGGGAACAGTTGGGATGGAGATTGTTAAACAGATGCAGGGCCCACTAGAAGCAATTTTCGTGCCTGTTGGTGGAGGTGGACTTATAGCCGGCGTTGCTGCTTATGTGAAGAGGGTGGCTCCACAGGTAAAAATTATTGGGGTGGAGCCATTTGATGCGAATGCAATGGCACTGTCACTGCACCATGACCAGCGAGTTGTGTTGGACCAAGTTGGAGGTTTTGCGGATGGTGTGGCTGTAAAGGTGGTTGGAGAGGAGACTTTCCGCCTCTGCAGGGAGCTTGTGGATGGCGTGGTTCTCGTAGGGCGTGATGCCATTTGTGCGTCGATAAAGGTTAGCTGACTTTTGGAAATAAATGACGTGTGTTCTGTTCTGTCGTTTTTCTCTGTGGTGGTGTGCCATGAGGTAAAATGTGTTGAATAATTGCTCGATTGAGTACTGGTTTACTTTTTAGAAGTCTCAAAAAAAGTTTCAATTGAATACACCAGAATTTTAAAAATCTTGAAAAGCCTTCAAAAGTTTCAATTGAATACATACACCATCCACCATCCTTTGTGTATGTTTAATAAGCACAATAAGTACTTTACAGGTTATTTGAAAGAGCTTATAAGTTTCTTGTATTCAAATACACTTTGTTTGATTAGTTGATTTTTTTTTTTTTTTAACTGCTCGGGCATGTCCTCATATGGTACTGTTATGAGCTTTTCTGATATGCTCATACTATTTTTTTTCAGTTTTATTCCTCTTTTAACCTTTTTCTTCCTTTCATAATGATACACTCTTTGTTTTTCATTGCAATTTTGTATTTTAAGATAGATTATTGGCTAATGTTTCCAAACACTTACTTATATCAGATAGTTTTTTTCAGTTATGATCTGTTAGTTCTCAATTACCTTATCAGCTATCAGCTACATTATCACCTTGGCTTAACAAACATACCCTTAGATCATGAGGTAGTCTCTAGTCTGGGTTTCGAACTCTGTTATATGTGTTTACAATTTACCAGGGGCGTAGCTAGGGGGTGCTGGCCTGTGGTCCCCGACACACCCAGAAAAATCAGGAAACTACTAGTGAAAATATATATGTATATACATATATATTGAACTGAAAAAATATGAAACTGGACTAAAGGTAAAAAGATAGGTCTAATAAAATTGGGTTAAAAACCACTTGGGCTTGGCAATAAATTATGGTTTGGGCCAGCCCGTCTTACCATAGATGGAGGCCTGGCTATGGGTATGAAATCCGGCTGACTGAGCCCCTCCATTTAATTTTGTTATATGTTTCTGTCAATCTGTCTTGAACTTGAACCGATTTATTTACTTCTTTATGCATGGTCAGTGGTCTGGATATACTTGAACTTAAAGGGTTATATCATTTACTTGTTTTGGTGAAAGGACATGTTCGAGGAGAAAAGGAGCATTTTAGAGCCAGCTGGTGCTCTTGCCCTTGCTGGAGCTGAAGCTTACTGCAAGTACTATGGACTCAAGGGTGTTAATGTAATAGCTGTGACAAGTGGAGCTAACATGAACTTTGATAGATTGAGATTAGTAACTGAACTTGCAGATGTTGGTAGAAGGCGGGAAGCTGTGCTCGCCACCTACATGCCTGAGGAGCCTGGAAGCTTTAAACAGTTTTGTGAGCTTGTGAGTGTGTTCTGGTTTATCATTGTTTAATGTTATTAATATGCATGACCTCCAAAGTTAAGTTATAGCATTGTTTTTTTGGTTACAGGTGGGCCCTATGAATATTACTGAATTCAAGTACCGATATAATTCAGATAAAGAAAAGGCTTTAGTACTATACAGGCAAGAACTATATTTCGTATATATATATATATATAGTTTGTACAATTTCAAAAGACGACAACGCAGCGTATTGACCAAATATTTTGCTTTTTCTTGACAGTGTTGGCCTTCACACGGATTTAGAACTCGAAGCAATGGTCCGGAGAATGAAATCGGCTCAGCTACACACCATTAATCTTACAGAAAATGACTTGGTAAAAGATCATTTGCGGCATCTGGTATGTCTTTTTTTTCTTTTATATTCTTATAAAGAATCTTACGTAATGACATAATTGGGATAATTAATGTGCTTGTTGAAGCATTTGGGTATCTTGTCTTGTTATGTGGTCTTTTTTTTCACCCTAAGGTCCTCATAGATTGCTGTTGGCTACTTACGGTTTTATAATACAATCCAACGCTAGAGTTTGTAAGGATGAGTTTACGTTGGTTTTAATTTAATGGTTATGGGATTAATTTTTATCTCAATTTTCCGCGATTGACTTTTTAGTATGAAACTATTGATTTTGTTCAATTGCTGTGGTATGAAATACGAATCCATTTCAGATGGGTGGAAGGTCTAATGTTAAAGACGAGCTACTATGCCGCTTCATTTTCCCCGAGAGGCCCGGAGCATTGATGAAATTCTTGGATGCTTTAAGTCCACGTTGGAATATAAGCTTGTTCCATTACCGTGGGCAGGTATATTATAATATGGCCTTGCTATGCATTTCAGATTTATATCTTTTTA